ACGGGTTGCCGGTTCGATTCCCAGTCAAGTCACATGCCTGGGTTTCTGGTCAGGTCCCCAGTAGGGGGCGCATGAGAGGCAACCACACATTGATGTTTCTCTCCCTCTCTTTCTCCCTCCCTTCCCCTCTTTCTAACAATAAACAAAATCTTTAAAAAAAAGTAGGTCTTTGTTTAATTTGTACTTTTTGATTAATAGCAAGATGGAATAAATGTTTTACACATTTATTAGTCATTTGTGTCTTATACTTCCTTTTTGAAATGGGGATCCCTGTCATTTCTTATGGATTTGCAGGTGCTCCACCTGTATTCCAGACCTCTGTGCTTTTTTGACTGTCTATGTTGTGAATATGCTTTCTTAATCTCGAGGCCTGCTTTTTAACTTAGTTTTTCATCGCCTAAAGAAGTGTTACATTTCAATGTAGTTCTATTAATAAAAATTTCCTTTATATTTCTTCCATTTGTTTTTGTATGTAGAAGGGTCTTTTCTTTTTCATGATAAAAGTCATATAACCACTTTTCTGCAAGTTTGGAAGAGGAACCAGCAATGCCCTGCTGGGTACCACCGCCTCACGCGGCCAGGCTGGGTTTGATGAGGGGCAAAATCGAGGTTTAAGGATCCCGCAGGGCGCTGGTCTACACTTCAGACCATCCGCTGCTGTAACCTCGGAGCGCGCCGGTGCCTGACACCCGGATGCGGTGGGCAGGGCACCGAGGTGGCTTCACAGAGGTCTGGCTCCCTGCTGCCTACCAGCTCTGCCTCAGTCTCCTCCCCCGGCCAACCGGCTGGTGTCTGAGGAGGAGGCCAGTGAGGCTCTGGGTTCAGACAGCACCAGGTGAAATCCGTGCGCTAAGGCTTTCAGCTCTGTACGACGGGAACCAGGGCCCGCCTCGTCGAGGTGTCAGGGACCAGCTGGCGGGCCCCGGAAATCAGATGATAGTAATGCTTCTCTGGCAGCCCTGCGCCTCAGCTAAGCCTCGTTCAAGGTAGATATTATTATTATTATAATTAGTAGAAGGGGTGGTAGTAGTAGTGTTCGCAGATTCCTGAGGAGCCTCCTGCTCCCACCCGCTGGGAGTCCAGGTCAAGACGAGGGTGCACAGGGGGAGGCCGGGACAAACAGGTGTGCAGCCACCTGGGCGGGCGGCCGCAGTACCGCCCTGGGGGCGGCAGGGGGCGGCAGCGAGCGGCAGGGAGAGGGCCCACTGAGCAGCATGAACAGCAGAGGCGAGGCGCTGGAAAGGCTTCCGGCCTCCCCTGGATGGGGGGGCCCCTAACCCCATCATTTCTCCGGATCTGCGGGGCGATCAGGCGGGGTAGGAGGCCGGGGAGTGGCGGGCCCCCAGCTCCCTCCGGTCCTTATCAGTAATGGCCAGATAAGTGCGGTGGGACCGGGTTCCGGCGGCTGCGGCTAATGGATGCTGCGGGCAGGCTCGTGGGCGCCCTGTTGACGGAGATAAGCCCCGGCCCGGCCGCTGAGCCACTCAGTACACAGTACTTAGCTGCGCAAACAGCCGCCGCCTGCTTCTGGACTCAGGCCTGGCCTACCCAACCACCTCCCCGGTGGCAGAGGCCCCCCAGGACCGTGGGCAGGCGACAGTGTGGGGTGAGGAGTCGGAGAGTGTGGAGTGGGCGCGTGGGGGGCATGAGGGTGAATGAGCCCGTGGGTGTTGGCACATTCGTGTGCGCGATGCTCCCTATGCTGGGCTTTAGTCCCCATGATGCCCCGTAACTACCAATTTGTACTTCTTAATCTCTTCCCCCTTTTCTCCCATCCCCCAAACGCCTCCCGTCTGGTACGGAGGGCCAGTATAAGACATACAGAAGAAAGATGCTCGATGTCACTAGTCCTCAGAGAGGTGCAAATTAAAGCCACAGTGAGATATCACCTCGCACCTATCAGACAAGTGTCGGCGAGGGTGCGGGGAGAAGGGAACCTTTGCGCGCTGTGGGTGGGTCTGGAAATTGGTGCGGCCACCGTGGAAAACAGCATGGCGGGCCCTCAAAAAATTAAACATAGAACTAACCTTATGACCCAGCGATTCCACTTCTGGGTATATACCTGCAGAAATCCAAAACACTGATTTGAAAAGACATGTGCCCCCCACGTTCACTGCAGCGTTGCATCCGACAGCCAGCACATGGAAGTAACCCAGGAGGGGCCTGCCAGCAGACGGGTGGGCGAAGAGGAAGTGGCTCGTGCGCACAACGAACTGTGACTCAGCCGTCAGAGGAGCGAAGTCTTGCCATTTGGGACAGCATGGATGGACCGAGGGCGCGCTATGTTAAGGGAAGTAAGTCAGAGCAACGCAGATTCCGTAATAGTTCACTTTTATGAGGACTCGAAAGAACAAAACGAACAAATGAGCACACTAGGAACTGTCTCCTGGTCTGGAAGCAGCCCCCAGGGGGCGTTCCTCCGGTTTCTCCTGCGGGCGGGTGCGCAGCTCTCGGAAAGCGTCCGGACTGCAGACGGCCGGCCACTGCCACCCGCCCAGCGTTCCCTCCCCAGGCGAGGGAGGGGCGGGGAAAGGGCAGGTGTGCTGGGCACTGCGCCGCATAACAAGTCACCCTAAAACTTAGCTTAACACAACCCTTAAATCTTACTCATGACTTTGTAGGTCAGGACTGGAAGGGACTGACAGCAGGTGCGGCTTGGCGCCTCTCCCGCAGTGGCAACGGAGGCTGGCGGGGCGGCCACCGTGTGAAGGGTCCCTTGGGCTGACGTCGAGGAGGGCTCACTCACGACCCTGGCGGGTGCTGCTGGCCCCCGGCCGGGAGCTCAGCTGGGGTCGCTGGGGCAGCACCTACGTGTGGGCTCTGCCGCACGATGTTCCTGGGACCCACATGGGAGCTTTGGAGACACTCTTGTGACAGGGGGTATGGAGGACGCGATCTGGCCCAACTCCTTCAGTCTCCTATGTGGGAGCCCCATTCCCCTGGTGGCCGTGCATTCACCTTGACCTTACGACCCTAGGGTTTTCTAGGGTGTTCCTTTCCTGGTGTCCTCACAGCCCTCACTCCACCCTCAGCACTGTCCAATGGCCCTCCGCCCTGTCCTGGAGGAGATGGGAGTGGGCGGGGAGGGGGGACCACTGTCATTTTCACTAGTCCATCTGCAAGTAAGTACTCAGCGCCTTCTCCAAGCGGGGCTCCGTGGCCAGTCCTGGGGACCGACGAAGGTGCGTGCGCGAGACTCAACCCCTGCTGCTCTGGACGTGGTCGTACTGTTCAGAAAGCACATCTCCCCCTCGATTGCCACAACATCTGGTGTGAGGACCCAGAAGAGGAATCTGTTGTTTGCAAAGAAGAAAAAGGAAAGCTACAGGTGCAGTTGACACTGTGGAGTACCTGTCATTTCTTAGGCGGTGACAAAGCTGTTTACAAAACTATAAATGGCCTCAGCACTTGAGTCAGTCCCCAGGTCCACCATCTGTCCGTTGGGGCAGGGCTTGATGACGGTAGCGGCCAGAAAGGGTCCCCACCAGGCCGTAGTCCAGTGGGAACGCAGACCCTTCCAACTGGGGTTGGAGCCTGGCGCCCCCTGGTGGCGCGCTGCAGCCTCGGCCTGCCTCGCTGGAGGCCCCACCTGGGACCCATCACTAATTCCCCTCCCTTGACACGCCAAGTCAGAACCCAGGGCCACAGGCAGGGGCTTACGGAGACACACCACCTGCATACTTGCTCCGTGGAAAATAAGTCGCCGGTTGGAGCGACTTATTGTTCGTGTTGCAGAAGTCAGAACTGAGAGCAATAGGCAGGGCACCGGTGTTTCCTCGCTATCTTGGTGTTGCGAGCGGTCCGCACCCCCTCCGCAGACTCGTCTCCTAACACACGCTCGGGGCGTCTTGATCTGGGGCAGCCGGACCTCGGGGGTCAGGGGTCAATGGTCCTTTGCTCCCTTTTCAGGCTTTTGTGTGTCAACCGGAAGCAGCCGCCTACTGCTCCTTGGCCTGGGGCAGGACAGGGACACAGAGCAGGGGGCATGTGGAGGCTCCTGGGTGGGGGTGGGGGGCTGCCGGGATCAGTGGGGTTTGCATTCTAGGCCAGAACTCGAGTCCGAGACAGCTGTGAGTGTCTTCCCCGCTGTGAGCCTCACGCTTTTCAGATAAAAAGTGGGGAATTATAGCAAAACTTTGACAGCCCCACTTAGCAAAACAGAGTCCCGATTTTGAAGTTAGACTTTACTTCACACCTGGAATCTGCCACCGACTAGCTATGTCAGACTAGTGATGTCTCCGAGCCTTCGTTTCTGAGTCCGTAAAATGGGTTGTTGTCGGGACTCGGTGAGGTGACGGCCCTGGGGGCCCTCGGGAAAATTCAAGGCTTTACAGGTGGTGCCGGCTTGTATCGCTCCCCCGGATGGGGGCTCTGCAGTGGCTACCAGAAATTGGCACCCCCATTTTCCCTGAACCCAGGCACCTCAATTCTCATTTTGCCTCCCACCCACCAGCCAGAGAGTGGGTTTCCCCTTGCCTGGAGCCCCGCCTCTTGCCGCATTGCCCAGCCACTTGAGGCATCTGCCCTGTTTCCACCTGGTTCTAACCACAGGCTGGAAAGGAAGTCTCGAGTCCCCATCCCTCATCCCTGGTCTCAGAGCGGGGTCTCAGAGCATCAATCTTCTGCCCCAGCCCCCCTTTGCCCCGAGGAGATTCCTCTGATGCTTTGGGTCAGTCCTTGCGGGAGGGGGGCTGTTCTGGGGCTTGCAGCCAGAACCTCTCGTTCGTCCTGAGATCCCCGAGCCCCGTCCCCCGTGGACCAAGCCTGCGCTGGTGCCCAAAGGCAGACGGGGGCCCACGGGAGGCTCACTTCTACCCATCACACGGCTGCATCTGGCACTCACAACCTGGCCCTCTCCTGTCCCTGGCCCCAGGGAGCTGGCTGGCGTCGCGGGTACCAGGGAGACCGTGGGAGGAGGGGTGAGGGCTGGGGAGCGGGAGAGGCTGACAGAAGGCGGGGACTCTGGGGGGCTGAGGACTATAAAGGGGCCAGGCTGAGAGCGGGGACCCACCCCACCTGAGGCAGGCACCTGCTCGGTCCAGGGCCCACTTGCTCGGGATTCAGGGTAAGGGGGCTCACAGTCCGTCCCAAGGTCTGGAGGACTCTGGGGGACCGAGTCCCTGGGGCTGGGGCCTGGGACGAGGGGGGAAGGTTCGGTGCTTTGCCGGGTGGGGGCTCCCGGAGGCCTGAGCTCCTGCGTGGGTCTGGCTCTATACCTGTCACATCTGTCACCTAGAAGAGCAGTTGACTAGAAGACTGTGCTTGTGTGTGGCCAGCGGTGTGGGTGACTTCGACCTCGAGAGTGATCGGGGTCCAGGAGTGTGACTGTGACTGTATCCGCACGGCATCCCTGGTCAGGGGGGGGTGTCGGGGGCAGACCCACAGGCCCCTGATTTCTGTCCTTCGGTTCACGATGTCCGTCTGTGGGCCCTGCCCCGAGGGTGAGGAGTGCCCTTGCTCCCACAAACCCTCCCCCAACCCATCCGCCACCCCTGCCTCCTCAGAGCCATCAGGCCTTGGGCGCCGTGCGTCCTGTGCCTCCTGCCCCGCGTCCTCACTTCCTCTGCTGCACGTTTCTGCTCTGCTGCGGCCCCGGCGGAGCTCCGGCCGCTGCGCTGCCCATGGGGGGAGCAATCTGTGCTTCCTGGGGCAGGGTCTTGGGGTGGGTGGCCGGGTCCAATGGCTCTTTGCTCTGCCCTCTTGTCCCTGGGCTGACGGGTCGAGGGCTGGGCGGGTGGGCTCTGTTCCACCTCTACCTCCCCTTCCACTCCTTGCTCCTCAGATGGCCTCTGCCCGCCGCTGCCTCTCCCTGCTGCTCCTGTCTACCTGCGTGGCTTTGCTGCTGCAGCCGCCACTGGGTGCCTGTGGGGCCCCGCTGGAGCCAGAGTACCCAGGGGACAACGCCACACCGGAGCAGATGGCCCAGTATGCGGCTGAGCTCCGCAGGTACATCAACATGCTGACCAGACCCAGGTGTGTATGAGAGAGAGCGGGAGGGAGGCCCCAGCCCCTTCCCCTTCCGTGTTCTTGGGGGAGCAGAACCTCTCCGCTGACCAGGCACCGGCCCTGTGGCCGAGGGCAGGGTGGTGCCCGAGGGCAGGAATGGGGCAGGTGGTCTGGCGCCTGGCGCAGTGCTTCTTGGTTGCCCCAGCTGCCTCTCCCCTCCTAGATACGGGAAAAGAGACAAAGAAGACACCCTGAACTTCTCGGAGTGGGGGTCCCCCCACAGAGCTGCCCCCAGGTGGGTTTGATCCTCTGTCCTGGGTGCCGGCTCCTTGGGGCTGACATGGGTGCGGGGGTGAGTGACATGAGCGGTTGGGGGAGGAGAACAAGGACCCAGGGGTGGCCTGAGGTCTCCTGGGCGGTGAGGACCACCTGCTCAGGCTGCCATGTCCTGCCCTCTCCCCACAGGGAGCTCAGCCAGACGGACGTGTGATGCCGCCGCCTGCCTCCTCTCCCTCCCTCCCAGGGCCGCGCCAGCCCGACCCTGCCCCCGCACCCTAGGCTCTGGCCAAAGCCTGTGCCTTGCGCCCACACGGGCTAAATAAAGCAAATCAAAAATGCAGCCTCTCTCTGTGGACCTCCGGCGGGGGCAGGAATAGCCAAAGGTTCAGGAGGGAAAGGGGGAAGGGAGGCAGTGCAGGCGAGGGGTCTCGAGATGACACCATGTGCAGACTGTTGGGAAAAGGAGCCTGCTGTGTGCCAGGGGGTGTAGCCCTGTCGGCAGCCCCGTGAGGGTGATAACTGGTACCCTCGCTCTAGAGGAGGCAGCCAAGGCTCACGGAGACCCGGCAGTTTGTCCGCGGTCCTGTCGCAGAGGGCAGTCCGACAGAGGGACCCCGCGTCGGTGTCAGGGTCAGAGGGGCCCAGGCCCAAACAGGGACCCATCACTCCCCGCCTGTGCGCTCTCGGGCAGGGATATGGCCTCTCTGAGCCCCGGACTCCGCGTCTGTGAAACGGGTTGTAGCGAGCACGGCATGATATAATGCGCGGGAAATTTCAGCATGGCCCTTGACCCAGGTAAACGCGCCGTGAATGGGAGCTTGCAAGGGGCAGACTTGTGATGCAGCTACCAGCCAGCCAGCGGTTTCCACGGCTACGCTGGAAAGACGAGCAGAGAGATAACATGCTCGTCTTCAAGCACGGAGTGGGGGGTGGGTGGGCGGGGACAGGCCCGGGGAGGGGCTCTGGAAGGCAGCTAACTTAGGTGACTACAGGACATACCTTTGAAGAGCCAGGAACTTGGAAATAACTTGTCCTGAAAGGGTGTGAACTCCTGGGCAAAGGAGCTATTCAAACAGCGGGCTGTGGGGGGCGGGCTTTGCTGGGATTCGGGTTCCAGCGGGGAGGCCGATCTGGGGATTCCACTCTCCAGCGCTGGGCGGGCTCCAGAGAGGTCCCGCCCAGGGAGCCTGCACTGAGGGGTCCCCGTGGATCCCAGGGGCCTTTGCCAGCCGTTCCCTCCTCAGGCACCTGCATAGGTGGGGGTGGGGTGTGTGTGTGTGTGTGTGTGTGTGTGTAAGACTGGGAAGGAGGAGCACCTGTGGGCAAGGAATGGTCCCGGGGGAAGGGGTGGGAGGAAGAAGTGAGAGAATGAGAACTTCTCTGGTTCCTGGAGCGGCCCCTCCTGCCTGCCTCACGTGCTCCGCCTACAGAGATGGGGCTGGTGGGTTTGGCGGATGAGAGGTCCACTTTCCCGGGCTCAGCGTCTCACACTGACCCCCTGGCGATGACACCATGGTGTGTTCCCCCTCCAGTCCTGGCTGTGTCTGGTGCGAGCCAATGACCTGAAAGTGAGGCCCTACCAGGCAAAGCACCGGAGAGGACGCAGACTCCAGGCAAAGGCAGGGCTCCGGCTGGTTCCTACGTCCAAGGGCTGCCTGGGAGCAGGGCCGGCTGCAGCAGGAGACCAGAGTCTGGGTCTGGATGGTGGAGGCTGCAGTCCCACCCCAGAATCTTCTCTGGCAGCTCCGGGGGTGGGTACTGGGTAGGGAGAGGTGTAGGCACGTCCCAGGGTCAGGAATTAGGGCCCCGCTCAGGGCACACCTGCGTGTGAATTGGATCTGCTTCCGCGAGGGCCACCTGCCAGGTCCCAGTTGAGAATGCCACCCCCTCATCCAGCTTCACAGAGACAGGCCTGGCGGGCTCCCACCCCCTCTTCCCCTGCTCTGCTCACTTCCAGTGGGGCTGAGAGGGCCCAGGAGGCAAAGGCAGCCCCTTAGGATCTGCACATCAGGGGCGGGCGAAGGCGCTGCTGCCGCTGGTTCCTGTCCCAGCACTGACGTCCCAGGCTGTCTCGGAAGCCGACCCGCTCTGTGGAGAAGCTTGGGGTGGGCGTCTGGCTGAAGCCCCTCCTTTGAGGTGGCTGGAACCTGATTCTCTCCCCCTGTTCTCCCTCTCTGTTAGAGCCCCTGGTAGTGGTGTGTGTGTGGGGGGGAGGTGTACCTGCCGCAGGGAGGAGGCACAAGCCCCCACACAGCTGAGGTCTTTTTCTCAGCAGGAGCTCCAGGGTCCTCTCTCCCTTGAAGGCAGGTGAGTGGGGCCCTTCCTGTCCAGGGCCCACATGAGTCACGACAGCAATAGCCATTCTATTTCTCTTTATTGTTTTCACGGAGGGGGGGAGTTAGAGCCCCTCTCATAATATAAAGGGGGTCGGTGAGCGGGGAGACTTGAGCGGGGAGACTTGAGCGGGACATCTGGAGGCAAAGCCCAGCCAGGAGAAGGAAGACCCTGTGGCTGTGGTATCTCCTCGCCCCAGTGAGGGGAGCTCACTGGGCTTCCTCTCGTTCCCGCCCGCTCTGCTCCCCGCCCCCCCCGCCCCCGGTCCCAAGGCCCCTGACCGGTGCGGCCTGGGGCCCTAGGAGGAAATCGGCGGTCCGGGTTCCGTGGTGTTCCGCGGTGGGGGGGTCGTGGAATTCCGCGGGGGGAATCTCGCGGGGTTCGATGGAGGGGGGTTCGTGGCGTTCGCCGATGGGATATTTGTGCTGTTCACGGTTTTCTTGGGGTTTTTAACGTCTTGAGATTTCTTGGTGTCCTTAGACTTGGAGCTGGGGAACACGTCTTAGCAGAGGTCGTGCGGCGGCGCCCACGAGCGCAGTGGCGGGGTGTAGGGGGCAGGTGGCGTCCGTCCCTCCCCGCGCCCCGCCTTGTCCCTCCCCCCGGCTCTCCGCCCGCCTACCTGCCGTGGAAGAGCTTCCCAAAGTACTTGTTGAACTGGCCGAAGGTGCTCAGCCAATAGGCCGCCCTGGGCCCACCTGGCTGCTGCAGCTGCGTCTCCTCCCCCAGGGCCCCCTCCGGCCCCTGCAGCAGCATCACCAGGCACAGCAGGGCCAGTGCGCACGCGCAGCGCAGAGCCGGCGTCTGGAGGGGACGGAGCAGAGCGAGCCGCCGGCCGTCAGTTGAGGCCCGCCCCTCCGATGCTCGGAGGGTGGGCGAGCTGGGGGCCCTGACCGCTCAGACCCAGGGAGGTATCTGCCTCTGGGGTGTGCACAGGTGCACGAGCGCCGTGAGGGACATCCAGGTGCCCGGGCCCAGTGGTGCACCCCTGGACCTGCGCAATGACGCGCACAATGCACCAGGCAAACCGGGACTGGGATGGACCCCGAGGCACGTGGGGGCAGCGGGCGGAGTACTGCCGTCGGTCAGCCCCTAACCTCACGGACCTCTTCCATAGCCCTGCTCGCCCCACTCCAGCCTCTCCTGCCCCCAGCTGCTCCTCAAAAAATGCTGTTTTCTGACTGAAGACGCTTCCTCCAGACATCTTCACGGCCAGCTTCCTCGCCTCCTCCAGGCCTGGGCTCACCCTCCAGAGGGCCCTCCTCTGACACCCCTACTTAAAATTGCAACCCATCCGCCTCTCACTCACCATGTTTCTCCTCCTCTCTTTCTCCCTCCTTTCCCCTCTCTCTAAAAATAAGTAAATAAAACCTTAAAAACAAATAAAATAAAATCACAACCCGTCCTTTCATCTTGCTCTGCTCCTCCCCCTCGCCCCATTGCATCTTCTCACTTCCTACATCCTAAGCTTCTTTAAGTTGCCTCAGTCCCTCGTAAGGGGCCCCGCCCACGTGAGCACCATTACTGCCGGGCTCCGTGCCTGTCTGGTCCACTGATGTGTCCCAAGAACCTAGGACAGTGCCTGGCACTTGGTAGGTGCTAAAAAACACATGTGAGATGAAGGACTGCTCACACAGAGACACGCACCGACATTCACAGCCCCAGCCATGCACGGAGACCTGCGTGCCAGCACACCCAGGCACACAGAGCAATTCAAATCTCACGATGCCCGTAACTATGATATGACCCGCCCCCCCCCCGCCCCGCCCTGAGCCCCTGAGGCACTCAACTCGCCCTTGACCAGAAACCCCCCTCATCCCGTCCACCCAAGGCAGGGAGAGGACAACCCGGCAGCTGCCCTGGCCATCCGACTGGCAGAGGGGGGTGCCCTGACCTCAATCCTTCATGCCCTTAACACCCTGCGGAGGGGCATCTGGTGCCAGCCTCCACCCCCGAGGCCCTGGAGAGGACAGCTGGCAGGGGCCACCAGACATTACCATGGCGCTGGGCAGGTGCAGAGCAGCGCAGCGACAGGGCCTCTGGCTGGGACCTCCAAGGCCTTTATATTCCCTCGGATCTATGCCCCTTCCCCTTGCAGGCCCGCCCCCAGCTTGGCCTCCTCACCCTGCCCCTGCCCCTGTGTTATAACCTGGGAGCTGGGAACAGGGAGACGGTGGGGGTGGAGGCACAGGGACTTCCAGCCGTCCCGCCAGGGGCCCGGAGGCGTGGGTGGCGGAGCGGGGAGGTACTGGGGAGCAGGGTAACTTTTCCTTCAAGTCTGCAGATCCTGAGGAGGAACCACCACCGGTGCTGGGAGGGGGCTGTGCTATCCCGGAGGCTGCTCTCAGAGGTGGGAGGGGGCTACACTGAGAGCCCAGGCCTTCCCATCCGGCAGGGTCCAGGGCGTCTCCCTTCCCTGCTGAGCCCCTGTGAGGCCTGGGTACCCTTAGTCCTGGCCTTTAGGCTTGCCAGCACCGGGCGGGGGTGAGGTGAAGGTTCCCGCCTTCAGGTGCAGGCTGTACTGGGCAGCCTGGAGATCTTGGTCCGCCCAGCTGCTGTGGAGCCCCTGCGGGGTGGGTGACTGCAGAGCCTTCCGAGGGGTGGTGGGTCTCGGCTGCCTGGATGACGAACTTGGGCTCTGGGCTGCTTCAGGTGCCAGAGCTTTGGCTGTGTGGCCCGTCAGGGACCCTGTACCTGCTCGACATTGCTGCTTTCCTGGGGCAAGGCTATGAAAGGTGGGTCGAGACTTTTTCGTGCCCATCCCACCCCCAGAAGGGGCACAGGAGGAGGAGCAGGGGCTTCTGGGCAGGAATTCTGACTCGACCACTTCCTGGCTGCGTGACCTTGATGAGCGGACATTATCATCTCTGTGTCCTCGTCTGTGAAACGGAGCTGATTGCACCTGCAGCATGGACGGCCGTGAGGACTGAGCGTGATGACGCAGAGGAAGTCCTTGGCCAGCTCCTGGCACAGGGCAGGTGATTAACACCTGTGAGCGCTTCCAC